GCTTTCTTTTGAGAACCATTTGAATGGTAAATGGTTCTCCAACCTTTTATTTTCAGGTTGTAGGTGTCCTTCTGTCTAAAATGAGTCTCTTGTAGACAGCAAATAGATGGGTCCTGCTTTTTTATCCAGTCTGAAACCCTGTGCCTTTTGATGGGGTCATTAAGCCCGTTCACGTTCAGAGTTACTATTGACAGATATGAGTTTAGTGTCATCATGATATCTATTCAGTCCTTGTTTTTGTGGATTGTTCCACTGAACTTCTTCTTAAAGGGGAATTTTAAGAGTCCCCCTTAAAATTTCTTGCAGAACTGGTTTGGAGGTCACATATTCTTTCAGTTCCTGCCTGTCTTGGAAGCTCTTTATCTCTCCTTCCATTTTGAATGAGAGCCTTGCTGGATAAAGTATTCTTGGTTGCATGTTCTTCTCATTTAGGTCCCTGAATATATCCTGCCAGCCCTTTCTGGCCTGCCATGTCTCTGTGGAGAGGTCTGCTGTTACCCTAATATTCCTCCCCATGAAAGTCAGGGACTTCTTGTCTCTTGCTGCTTTAAGGATCTTCTCTTTATCTTTGGAATTTGCAAGCTTCACTATTAGATGTCGAGGTGTTGAACGGTTTTTATTGATTTTAGGGGGGGATCTCTCTATTTCCTGGATCTGAATGCCTGTTTCCCTTCCCAGATTGGGAACGTTTTCAGCTAGGATTTGTTCAAATACATATTCTGGCCCTCTGTCCCTTTCGGCGCCCTCGGGAACCCCAATTAAACGTAGGTTTTTCTTCCTTAGGCTGTCATTTATTTCCCTTAATCTGTCTTCATGGTCTTTTAATTGTCTGTCTCTTTTTTCCTCAGTTTCCCTGTTTGCCATTAACTTGTCTTCTATGTCACTCACTCGTTCTTCCACCTCGTTAACCCTCGTCGTTAGGACTTCTAGTTTGGATTGCATCTCATTTAGTTGATATAATTTTTATTTATTTATGACAGTCACACACACACACACACACACACACACAGAGAGAGAGAGAGAGAGAGAGAGAGAGAGACGCAGAGACACAGGCAGAGGGAGAAGCAGGCTCCATGCACCGGGAGCCCGATGTGGGATTCGATCCCGGGTCTCCAGGATCGCGCCCTGGGCCAAAGGCAGGCGCCAAACCGCTGCGCCACCCAGGGATCCCCGAGAGGACGGTTTCTGATTCTTTCTTCTGAGGTGAGGTTTTCCTTCTAGTCATTTTGCTCAGTGCAGAGTGGCCAAAAACAAGTTATATTGGGAAAAGGAGAGAAAGAGAGAGAAGGAAAGAAAAGAGAAAAAGAAAAAAGAAAAAGAAGGAAAAAAAGAGAAGAAAAAGAGAAAGAAAAAGAAAGAAAGGTGAAAAAAGAGGGGGGGTGGGGGAAGCAATCAGAAATCAAAAAGAAAAGAAAAAAGAAAAAAAACCACGGGGGAGTATCTTCTGATTCTGTAGATTTTAAGTCCCTTGACTTCCCCTGGAACTGGTCCGTCCAGCTGGTCTTCTGGGGGAGGGGCCTGCTGTGCTGATTTTCAGGTGTTAGCACTTGGGGAAGCTGCTCTGCCCCTGCCTGCTGCCGGGCTCAGCGGGGGTTGTTTACCCCGTGGGGCCCCAGGAGGAACAGCCGCAGTTGCTATGGCAACTCTGGAAGCCTGGATTCAGCCTCCGCAGGAACTACGGGGCTCGGGGCTCTCGGCTCTCCGTCCGCAGGGCCTGGAGGCTCCGGGGCGGGGCCGCTGATCTGCTCAGCTCGGGGCAGGAGCGTCCTCGCTGTCCTGGGCCCTCCCGGCCTCTGCCTGTCCCGGGGGAGGCCGGATCCTTGGCTGTGTCCCGGTGCCCTGTGCTCCGGGGCCTGCGCTGTGGGATTCGCGCTCCCGCCCCGCAGCCCCCTCCGCAGAGCCGCCGCCCGAGCCCCTCCGAGCTGCTCTGGTCCCGCCGTGCACGCTGCAGCCCTTAGGGAGCTCGGAGCACTCTCCCGGGGCGCAGGTGCCTGTTAGTGTCCCAGGGAGCCCGAGGGCATCCCCGCCCTCCTGGGTCCTGCTCCAACTCCCTGCGAGCCCCTTTCCGCCCGCCCGGGAAGGTTGGTGCAGCTCCTGCTCCTCCGGGACGGGGCTCTCCTGTCCTGGGGACACTCGCCCCGGCCTCAGCCCGGCTCCTCGCGGGCCCCTCCCCCTCGGAGGCCTTTTGTTCCTTTATTTCTTTTTCCCCGTCTTCCTACCTTGATAGAAGCGCGGACTCTTCTCACTGTAGCTTTCCAGCTATTCTCTCTTTAAATCTCAGGCCGAATTCGTAGATTTTCAGGATGATTTGAAGGTTATCTAGGTAATTTTTTGGGGACAGGTGACTTGGGGACCCTACTCTTCCGCCATCTTGACCCTCCTCCCCGAATAAAGCTTCTCTAGAGCTCCTGACTGGCCTGGGGCTCTTCCAGGGCCCTCAAAAGGACCTTAGCCATCTTGCATTGTTTTTCCTTAAAGGGAGCATTCACCTCTCAAATTGTATAAAGTGTTTGATCCCACAGTACCTGTATCTACCCCTGCCAACCACAGATTAGTGAATTACCCAGCATGCCTTGGTATCTGGGAGTGGATGCGCTCCAAGAGTAACGAGCATGAGGAAAGGATTATTAAAAGTCAAAGACTGCATTAATAAAGGCAAAGGAGAAGCAAATGCCAATCAAATAAAGAACAGTCACCAAAGGAGGAGGAGATCACATTGTGAAGGAAGTAAAAAGAGAGGTAGCCAACGTCATCCAACATGGATGGGAGAGCAGGGGAGAGGAAAAACAAGGATACGCACGGTTCCAGGAGTAGCTAGGATACCTGCATGGTGGTCACCCAATATATGAGTGATAGATTATTATCTCTCATTCTGTCCAGGGAAGGGAGATGGCGGGGGTGGGGGAGGAAACTTTGGAAAATGATTGTTAAAGTTTCGTTGTTTAGCAGAAAAATAATCATTTTTATATTTTGTGCAAAACATTCTACATTTTCAGATCATTTAAATGAGCACTACATACTGTCAGTGTGAATGTAGGGCCTCGAAAAGCATTTTGCGGTTTTGTTTTTGTTTTTTGAGCTTGGTTATAAAAGCAATCTCCTGTGTTAAAATGTGTGAATAGTTTGATAATTTGTACACATAATCAAGAGCATCTCAGCTGGACTTTGTGTTGGCTCTGTATAGAACATGAACAAATGTCAAGGGATAGAAAATTACTTTGGATATTTAAAAGAGAAGAAATATATAGTCTGTTTTGTAACAATTTTCTGTAAATAAAATAATTTATACTATTTATAAGAAAAGGTTGTGCTTTGCTTTATGAGAAATTAGTTTGTGGAACAAACATGTTACTAAATGGGCAATAAAATTAGGTCTTCTCAATAAAAAAAAAAAAACAGCGGAGGGAGTAGTACAAACAAAAAACTCTGCACTTCCCTATTCAGTTAGGATGATACTCAGTAAAGTAGGTTTACTGTAATAATCGCATCTATGTGGAAGTGAAGTTGAATGGCACACATGTACTTTTCAAAATGAATCCTAATGTGTTCCATGGCCAGGCAGAGGCCCTGAGTGACCTTTGTCTCCTCTTCCACCCCCAACCCCACTTCTGAATCTTTCTTTCCTAATCCTGTATCCTAATATTCTTACTCCTTGAACATCCATATTTCTGCCCCATCTCTCTGTCTTCTGGCTGGAAATAGGGAGCAGTGAGAGAGGATAGAAGGAGAAAAGAAGTCATAAGAGTGACATTTGAATGTGAAAGGTTTTGAATTAAAATTTATCCTGGATAACCCACAAAACCAGTAATTCATATATGGTTCATTGAATGCTGTCCAAAATTCAGGCCAAGAAAACATCCATTTGAACCAGCATGTTCTAAATTGGCCGCCCCGGCAATTCTGAGGTTGACTGGTTTCATTTGGGCAAATCATGCTGACTTTCCCATTATTAGGAGACTGAGTGTTATTATTATTGTCTTTGGAGTGTGAAATGTACCCTGATCAGTGATACGTGCTCTGATCTGCTTCTATGTCTATTATGGAACCTACTTGATGCCATTTTACATTTCCACGGTAACTTTCTCCTGGAATCTGTTCCAAGATAGACTAATTTCATTACTGTTCCCAACTTAACTTCTCCAGTGATAATATCTTTCAAGGCTTTTGACATATTAACTATAGATGTGTTTATTCATAATTGTGTCACTATGAAAAATCTGCTACTTGAGGACAATGGTTTTCAATGGCTAATATGACAAAAATATATTAGAGACACGGAAAAATAGCTACTAAATGGAATGACTAAGCCAAGGCATTGATTTGAGGTTACTGAGAACTAAATAAAATTAATTCAATAAAAAGCAGCAATTTGTATTTTTTTTGCTAGCAAAGGAAATGATTAAAAACATTTTTAATGATAAAGAAAGATGTGTAACATTATTGGCTAGCAATAGTATTCTCACTGAAAGAAGACCAAGAGTCTATTAAGATATGCTTCATAATGTACACATGTAAATTAAATAAGTTCTAGCTGCTTGATATTTCAGTATGGTTAATGTGGAAACAATTCATAACACTTTTATACATAGCTTAAGCACTTTTCTATTTTTTCATTCTAATAGTAAGCCTTAGCTTGACTTGAGCATAATGAATTTCTTCTTTAATAAGTCCTATTTGATCCAACAAAGCCAATTAAACACAATACACTTACGTACCCATTGGTTACGTTATTAGACTGGTAAAGGACAAATCCGTGTGACCACAAATTTTGTTTGAACCAAATTTTGGAAATGTATAAATTATTTGGATGTAACAGTTTTGTCGAACTCTCAGCTACTTCTGCAAGATGAAATTATAATTTGTGGAGCTAAATACTGTTAAGCTTGTGTTTGAATCAATTATCATTCAAACTTTGTAATTGTTTCGATGAACCTAATTGTACAACTTAGCGAAGATAAAATTATATGCCCAATAAATACATGTCAACATTTTGCCTTTAGCCAATAAGAAGAAGGAGAAAGAACGCCCAGAGATCTCTCTTCCTTCAGACTTTGAACATACGATTCATGTGGGGTTTGACGCAGTCACCGGGGAGTTCACTGTAAGTAAGCTCCTTATTGTGTTTTGCAAGCCATGAAAAAATTCCTTTGTGAAAACAGGTTTCAAGAAATCATGTCCATGTCCCAGAATGTCAGGCTTGATGCTTTGGATGATTTCAAGGAAGATGGACTATGCCTAGTCAATCACAGGAAAAGTACTGACAAAATTATTTTGTCCATCATAAAAATGTCTGATCATTGTTAGTCTTCAACCTGATGTTGAAAATGTGAATTTTCCATGGCACAGGAGAGGTAGTCCTAGTAGACTGTTGAGCCTCTTTATTGTTTGAAGTGAAATCAGAGAATCATTGACTCGACTTGGCCAGTGAAGACAGTCCATCTGAATAATTCAGCCTTTACATTGGAACCTGGATTACTCAGATCAGCTAACCACTCTAACCAAAATTCTGTAAAATTGATTTGCTCTTCCCTTTGATTTCAAGAATGTAGCTTATTTTCAGGCTTATTAACAGGTGTATTTTATAGGCCTTCAAAACAACAAACCCCATGTTTCAGGAAGAATATTTATGGATAGTCATGTGTGCGTTAGTGGTTATGTGCTTACATATATACAATCCAATAAGAATTCTCCAGAAAGACCATAGCTATAGAGTCAGCCTTTCTTTGGATATTTGTAGTGCTCAAATAGTGCAAGATCTCAGTCATTTTGTGTTTTTTTTTTTTTTTAAGATCTGGCATCTTTGTTTTTAGATGGATGAAGGAAAAGATGTGGCTAGAAATATGTCCCCAGGAGGATCAACTACCTTTTTCCATACTAGTAAGGATCTCAATAAAAATGTACATTCTGAGATAATGAGTAATTTTTAATGCATTCAGGAAAAAAACTTCTATAATATCACCACCGATTCTTGGGTTCTTGGTGTAAGAGATACTTTTAGATGTTAAATAATTAAATTTTCTGTCTCCTAACTTGACAATTAGTAAGTAAACTCCTATGATTCAGTGAACCAAATGGGGGCAAGGGACAAATCAACTGGATTTGAAGAAGCAAACCATGTCTCTGAATTGACAGCCAAGATACCCCCTTTTTTTTCAATTCTGGAAGTACGCAATATGAGAATAAAATCACAATTGAGTAAACATCTTGGCCTTGTAAAGTGATGTGAGCTGGTTATTTCTGTACTCTCAGTAGCAAGCAGAAGAGAATGTAAAGAAGTACTAACATTGATAAAGTTGAGACACTGGTAAGATTTAACAAATTTCATCACTGGAGTCAAAGACTTTATTCAAATGGCCTTGAGTACTGTCACCACTACCATTACACCATCACCACCAACATAAATAAATAAATAAATAAATAAATAAATAAATAAATAAATAAATAAAGGTTTTTATAATCTGAACAAAGATATTATGACTTTTTTGACACTTGAAACAGTAAGAGCACTTAAAATTTATAAATTTTGTCCAATTAACTCTTCCCTGTTTTAAGAACATTATGTTTCCAGTTTTGACATTCTTTATTTTCTATGTGTCTTTCCTCTGTTTTAACTTATATTTTATTGCTGTCATACCATTTTTCCCTTCCTTTTTGTGGTCTGACGTGAAAGTTTTCTCCTCCACTATTCTCGTGTGACATTCTGGTTCCTTTCCAATTTTTTTCTTTTTTCCACTCTTTCCAACTTGCTTGACATCTCATAATCTAATCTATCTTTAGCTCTTGCTTTGTTCTTTTTGGGTTCTGAATGGAAATGAAAAAAAGTGAATCACCATCATCTTGCTGACTGCATTTTCACTTTGCCGTTGTTTAGAACCCAAAGAACCAACCAGAAGGGTGGGATATGTGATGGACACTCTTTCCAATTGTGAACAACAGTTTGATGCAACTAAACCCAAATCCATCCAAAACCTGTGCTCCCCCTCCTCCCTGACACCCAATTTAAAATAAAGCAGCTGTTTGGAGACAGGCAGTTGTTAGAAATCCTTTGAATATACAGACAGACATAGGCTAAATTTGGAAATCTGATGCACTTATTGCCCTCATGATGGTCTTTTGAAACTACTTGTCCAAAAAAAAAAAAAAAGAAGAAGAAGCTACTTGTCCGTACATTATATTTAAAGATGCCACATTCTAATTCTGCCCTTTTTAACTCTTTTCACCTATGGTTTACACTTACAGACTTTTAAAAATGCCAAATGGTAATAAGCTTTTAAAATCATGTTGTTGGTAGCATTTAAAATCGGGTTCTATTTGCCACGGTACCACTAATGTATCGTGTGTGTGCACAGAGGGGGAGGGATGTATTACTATATTTGATTATTGCTGTTGCTTAGGTTGCATTTTGAGCAATTTGTTGAACTGTCCTGTTCAGTTGTCTTCCAAGGGCCTGTCATTGTGAATATTTGGACGCCGATTTGGTGTGCCGCTTGGTGATTGTCCTATGGCTAGTTGGCCCATATGACCTTGTATGCTTGGGTATGCACTTGGGCCCTGAGATTCAAAGTAGGTTGGGAGGTGAGATTTGGGGTACTAAAGTATTAAAAGTCCTTACCCTTTATATTGCCATTTTTGTCCTAAATACTTCAGAACTCCCCCTTCCAGACCTCTAGACCTGTGACGGTCGCTTCAAGTCAATCAGAGGGAAAAATGGTATGAGTGATATAAATGATCATTTCTCATGATAAGATAAATGCTTGGCCTGTTGTATCATGCTGCCATTCTCCTGGGCTACACCGGACAATCCCCAGCTTGTTGTACATCTGGTTGTTTTTGTACATGTGGTCAGGCATTGATATGTGCTCCTGCTTCTGATGCTCATACTTCTAGGTCTCCATTAGCTGTCTTAACTTTTGGGATTTGTACCTCAATTTGGAGCAATGAGATGGCTTTCTGATTAAGTGCCTCTGTGGCACACATTCAAATTTAAGCGTCAGGTCTTATTGATGGACTAGTTTATCTCAACTTATCAAAGAAAAAAGAGACTATGTCAGCAGTGTAGTCATGTGGTAAGTATAGTTGTCTGAAGGATCTTCTGCAATTGACAGCATGTCTTCCTGCTGTCTAGTGATCACAAGACATTTATGTATCACAAAAGTTTAGAAGTGCCATGAGAATGTATAACTGCAAATATTCTAATAATTACGGTAATGATCATGCCAGTGATGTCTGCTCTAGTGGTTATGTGCAACGCATACCTGGTTTTGTAACACTTAATAACTCCTTTGGCCATTACAGTATTAACCAAATGCTATTGATTGCACTTAGAATCAGAACTGGGATCATGCATGGGCTCCTGAGTTCAAATATGTGGCTTAAGGCTTTAGCATCAAATTGCGTGATTAATGCATGTCAAAGTGTCATTTCACTGTGCTTGGAGTGACCCCAAATGCCAGGAAATCAAAGACCTATATCCCAAATCAAACCAGTTGGGTTGAAGCATGTCTCTGTAGCTTTGGAGACAGTATCTTTCTTTAGACAAAGCTGCTATCTTATATCCGATCTTATTTTGTGGGAAGTGCGACTTTAGAACTGCAGCATTAAAATGGAAATTGTTCATATATGGCTTGAAATGAAATGGTTTCCCTTTCCCTGGCCTAAAGAAACTTTTTAAAGGTAGAGTCTGGCTGCGTGGGAAATCCTTAATAATCTAATTTTCCCTAGACCAGTCACGACTTTAGGTGCAACATGCGGAAGAGTCGCATCAATGAGAATGAAGTTAAATTTAGCATCAGCATGTTGCCATCCTGTCCATTTTAGCCACACAGACACTTCCACTGTGAAACCGGAAATGGTTCACCAGAATTGGGAATTGAAATTTGTAAGTTCATCACATGGCCATTGGCTACTTGTGATTACCCAGTCGTAAATACAGACTTACAAATTATTGTCCAAGCTTTTCATGATGCCATCCTTCTTTCCTCCAAAGTCATGTTTCTGCCTTCTGGTAATTTCTCCGGTCACTCACTTAACAGTAATTCTTATTATTGTGTATTTCTGGAGGAAGCATCTGGCCCAAAGTGGAAATTATGCGTCCAAACATTAGAAAGTTGTCTTTTTTCTGTTTTCTTAAATCCGTTGTCCTGTATCCTGTCCTGCCCCCACCCCGCGTTAGTTAAAACCTTTCTATTTTCATAACTGCCCCACTTTAGAAGGGATTAACCCCCCTCCCCATTCAGACCCATTGGTTTCATCTCCTCCCACCTTCTAAGTTGTCCCACATTCTGTTTTAACTTTCTTTTCTTTCTTTATTTACGTCCATTACAGCCAGATCTCTATGGCTCACAGATGTGCCCAGGGAAGCTCCCAGAGGTGCGTCACAGGCCCAAAAGAAGCTTGCATCAAAGTGCTTCTTTGAGATGTCATAGCACTGCAGCAGCAGGTTCATGTGTGTGCAGTAGAATTGTTGCTTGGCTTATCTCACCTTTTTGTTGTCATTCCCAAACTCTGGAGGCCCACGTCACACATTGTCTTGCCGAGACTTCATAGGACCAGGCCACATAAATTGTGTCTAGATGCACTTAGGAATGGGATGTCTGTTTCTCACTCCAAGTTGCTCTTGGAGGGTGTACAATTACAAAATGGGGACATCCGTAGGCTGAGCACGTAGGGAAAGAATGCTAAATGCTCAATGTGAAACTTAACCTTCTGGTGGAATTTGTGCAATTGTCCTTGGTCAGATTTCCAAATACTCCCTCCTCTCTGCTCTAAATGCTTTGGATTATTGCCAATTCTCACCAGGCTTCGGCATGGTCGTCATAGTCCCCAGGTTCTATGTGGCCAATGAACAAAGAGGGGATGGAGGGAGGAGAGGAGAGACTATTTAGCATCTCCGTGTTGGTGGCTCCTCCACTATTCTATTTTGGTCTCTTCTCAGTCCCCCTCTGTGTTAAAGCCCTTGACACCCTACCCCCACCCCGCCAAATTGCATTTTATAATCACAAAGTGTAAACTGACCATGGGTGAGACTTTTCTTTTATTCGGAATGATCCCCCAATTAATAACATGCCCAGAAACAGCTTCTGTTATTCCAGTCATATAAAATCCATTGATCTGCACTATACTACACTGTGCACAAATTTAGAGAAGTCTTGCTATGTCTGCCCTGAGTCGCCAGAAAAAATAAGCTAAGCCGTAAACATCATTTCATGGATGAGCAGAATTAATATGAAGGTGATTTTCATGCGCTTTTTTTTTCTATCACGGTCATACTCCCACCCACCCTTTTTAAGTTGGATCCTAGTTTTACCTATGTGTTTTAATTAGAAAAGAGAATGATTGCATTATTAAGTTACTAACTTTAAATCTAGAGTGTCACTTCAGTTTCCCAAGTGTAATCCTACAGGTAGCATGGGCTTCTTGGTGAAGAACTTTACTGGAACATAAAAATGCAGCTGCTGAATGTTCTGAGCTCCATTCTTTCCCTTTGGTTGTCCACAGGGGATCCCTGAGCAGTGGGCACGGTTACTCCAAACCTCCAACATAACAAAACTGGAACAGAAGAAGAACCCACAAGCTGTTCTCGATGTTCTCAAATTCTATGATTCCAAAGAAACAGTCAACAACCAGAAATACATGAGCTTTACATCAGGAGGTAAGAGTAAATCCAAAGTATCAAAGAGAGAAGTAATTCGAATCTCAGGACCTCGGGATTAGAACAGAATGCCTGTAGGGCATCTGAAGTCCGTTCTACTTCCTTTTTTTTTCCTTCAAGATTTTATTTATTTATCCATGAGAGATACAGAGAGAGACACACACACACACACACACACACAGAGAGAGAGAGAGAGAGAGAGAGAGAGAGACAGAGGCAGAAGGAGAAGCAGGCTCCATGCAGGGAGCCCAACGTGGGACTCGACCCCGGGTCTTCAGGATCACACCCTGGGCTGAACGCAGTGCTAAACTGCTGAGCCACCAGGGCTGCCCTCAGTTCTACTTCCTTCCCCAAATGACATCAACATCAGTAAATTGAAAGATGTGCTGGAAGTTGAAGTTGACATTAGGAGGTTTACTACTTGGGTGTTTTTAGAACTCAAGGAGGGGGATTGCTCAGTGAAGCAGTGGTTGTCAGTTTCAATCACGATTGTTCTGTCTTTGCACTGGAATGAAGAAGACAGTCACTTAGAATCAGGCCTTGTGAAGTGACCATGAAATAAGAGGTGTATGAATCAAAACATGGTCTCCTGAAGTGTATTTTATCCTTTTGATTCATTGACTTATACTGTGATGATACAGCACACATTTTGTGGTTGCCATTTTGATCCAACCTCAAAATCAAGCTTAAAAAAAGAAATTATGTCTGGCTATTTATAAGAAATTAAAATTTCTGTGTTCTGGCAAAATCTTGACTTCATTTACTAGCATGTAGGCCCAGCCCTTGTTTGAAGCTTGAACATTCACATTTGCCATGTAAGCAACTGAAAAATATATGCCAAACATTTTTGCATTTTGAGAAAGATGATCCGGGTTGCCTTTCTAGAACAACTTATTATTTAACATCTAAAAAAAGAAGAGAATCCTATCATTAGTGCCCCAGCTGTAAAGTGCCCCTATCTCTCAGCATTGGTTTTAATATAGGGTAGGCTTGAAATATCTTCAGGAATAGTGCAAGGACTTACTTAGAAGGGGAGGAGTGTCTCATTTGGTTCTAACAAATGTCAAAGCCCAAACTTAAAGTGTATAGTAATTCATGTGCTCCACAGGATGTTTTTGACTGAGATTGCTTTGCTTGACGGCTGTTCTCTAATGGAGAAAACCTAAAAGGAAAAAAAGCCATCAAGGGGAGCTTTTTAGGTATTTCGTCTTCCGTGTGGAGTGAAATGTCTCAGAGATCCTAGTGATACTTCAAACAGTGCTTAATGTGAGGAAGTCTAGAACTGCCCTCCGGGCCCACTGTAGAACCACAGGTGACCAGAACCAAAAATGCATCATTCTAGTGTTTGTCTGTGCTGAGTGAAACTCACCAGACATTCTGTGGATGCTCTAGTGTTGAGACTGAGGAATAGGGTGGGAGGAGCGCAGGGGAGGAGAAAGAGAAAGGAAGAAAGGGACAGTAAAAGGGAGGAAGGAAGAGGAAGGAGGGAGGGAGGAGGAGAGGGAAGGAGGAAGTGAAGTAAGGGAGAAATTCTGGATATGTATAGACTCATACCAATCAGGAGTAGGTAATCTTGGGGTACCTGTGTGGCTCAGTCAGTTAAGCATCCAACCCTTGATTCCGATTCAGGTCACCATCTCAGGGTCCTGGGATAGAGCCCTGCATTGGGCTCTCTGCTCAGTGGGGAGTCTGCTCTAGGATTCTCTCCCGTCCTCCGCTGTCCCTCCCCCTGCTTGCATGCACGTTCATGCACACATGCACTCTCTCAAATAAATTAAATCTGAGTAAGTAATCTCAATATTACACATATAGATGAGATTCGCTGGAGGCCTTTATTAAGGTCTATAAAATGACATGGTGAACCTTGCAAGGATATGAGTTATTTTCAGAACAATGATGTCATTTGTCATAGCATATTGTCATATAGCATCTATTCAATATTGAATAGGAGAATTTCCTTCTGGCCAAATTAATTAATTAATACAAAGTACAAAATAATTAATACAACTTAATTGTTTATTAAGTCTGGTTTCTAAATGAGGCAGACTTCATAAAATAAATGTGACATCTTTATCTTTTCTTTTCAGATAAAAGCGCACATGGATACATAACCGCCCATCCCTCGGTAAGTGAAAAATTGAAAATGGTTTGGGGTGATCAGTGTTTCTGGCAGTCCAATAGGATACCATCGTACAGATTCAGTTTAGATAGAGAATCTTTTAAAAAACCGTTTTTAAAGGTATAATTTAGATCTATAAAATTCACCCATTTTTAAACGTACAGTTTGATGAGTGTAGGTAAATATATATACCAGTGCTACTGTCACCACAGTCCAGTTTTAGAATACATTTATCACCTCCTAAGATCCTTTATGCCTTCTTACAGTTATTCCCCATCCTACCCCCATCCCCTAGCTCCAGGCTATTACTAATCTGGTAGTATGGATTTGTTTTTCTGGACATTTCATGTAAATGAAATAATATAGTATATGACCTTTTGGGATTGGCTTTTTTTCACTCAGCATAATGCTCTTATGGTTCATCCGAGTTGTGTGTTATCAGTAATTTATCCTTTTTATTGCTAAGTAGTACTCCATGGAATAGATGTGCCACTCTGGTTAACAATTTACCCATGGAAGGCTCTCCGGACCATTGGCAGTTTTTGGCTATTGTAAATAATTTACTATGAACATGCATGTATAAATCTTTATGTAAATAAATGTTTCTATTTCTTTTACACAAAGAATCTTGAAAATAATAATCATAATGATAGTGGCTTCTCTCTACTCAACACTTACAATGTGCCAGGCACTGATATAATAACAGTGTGCATTCACTTAACCTTTCTTGCCACCAGATTAGGTAAGTCTTAATCATTGTCTCCATTTTAAAGATGAATTTCAGAGAGGTAAAATAATTCATCTGAGGTCATATCACTGTACCTTTGAGTGTCACCTGTTCTGATAAACAGATCCAGTGGGGGAAGTGATTTTGCCCAAACTCATATAGTTTTATCAAGAGCCTAGAAAATAAGTAACTGAGTTCAAAGTTCTTAGAAGTGATAGAGTATCTGCAAGAATATCCATACACATAAGACAAAAAATTATCTTAGACAAGGCTAACCTTTGTGTGATTTTATTGTGAAATAATTAGCATCAGTGAGAGTTTCCTAACTGTTGATTTGAAGAGTCATGGATAACAACCTTTTATAGAGGACAGATGCTGGCCTGCTTAATGTCACCCTGGGTGACAAGTGTAATAGTAGTAGATCATTAATGGTAAAGAGTAAAGGCCATGAAATTGTGGGGAAGTTCCTCAAAAATTAAAAATAGAATTACCATGGGATCCAGCAATCCCACTTCTGGATTTATACCCAAAAGAATTGACAATAGGTTCTCTCTTTTTTTTAAAGATTTTATTTTTTCATGAGAGACAGAGAGTGAGAGGCAGAGGCAGAGGGAGAAGTAGCAGGCTCCCCGAGAAGCAGGGAGCCTGATGTAGGACTTGATCCCAGGACCCTGGGATCACGAGCTGAGCTGAAGGCAGACACTTAACTGACTGAGCCACCCAAGTGCCCTGACAGCAGGTTTTCAAACATATTTTCATACACTCATGTTCATAGCAGCATTATTCACAGTATACAAAAGGTAGAAGGAACCCATGTGGCCATCAACAGATGAATGGATAAATAAATGTGGTATATTCATACCATGGAATATCATTTTTTTATGGAATATCATTTAGCCTTAAAAAGGAAGGACATTCTGGGGCACCCAGGTTGCTCAGTTGGTTGGGTGTCCAACTCTTGATCTCAGCTCAGGTCTTTTTTTTTTTTAATTTTTATTCATTTATGATAGTCACAGAGAGAGAGAGAGAAAGAGGCAGAGACACAGGCAGAGGGAGAAGCAGGCTCCATGCACCAGGAGCCCGATGTGGGATTCGATCCCGGGTCTCCAGGATCGCGCCCTGGGCCAAAGGCAGGCGCCAAACCGCTGCGCCACCCAGGGATCCCTCAGCTCAGGTCTTGATCTCAGTGTCATGAGGTCAAGCTCCATGCTCAGCGTGGAGCCCACCCTTAAAAAAAAAGGAAGGGCATTCTGACACATTGATACATACTATCACATGGATGAACCTTGAGGACATTATACCAAGTGAAATAATCCACTTATTAAAAGACAAATGTATGATTCTATTTATATGATCTACAGAATACTCTGTATACAAAGTTCAATTTTTGCAAGATGGAAAGGGTTCTGGAGATTGGTTGCACAATACTGTGAATATACTTAACACTACTGAACAGTGCATTTAAAAATGGCTAAGGGCAGCCTGGGTGGCTCAGCAGTTTAGCACCACCTTCAGCCCAGGGCCTGATCCTGGAGTCCTGGGATTGAGTCCCACGTCAGGCTCCCTGAATGGAGCCTGCTTCTCCCTCTGCCTGTATCTCTGCTTCTCTCTGTGTGTCTCTAATGACTAAATAAATAAATCTTAAGAAAATAAGAATAAAAATGGCTAAGATGGTAAATTTTATGTCGTGTATATTTTACCACAATTAAACATAAAAATAGGGATGCCTGGGTGGCTTAGTGGTTGAGCATCTGCCTTTGGCTCAAGTCGTGATCCCAGTGTCCTGGGATCGAGTCCCATATCAGGCTCCCCATAGGGAGTCTGCTTCTCTCTCTATGTCTCTCATGAATAAATAAAATCTTTATTAAAAAATAAAAATAAAAAAGTATGAAGGCTCTGTACATAGATGTTTAGTCTTATTGTATGAATTTTTAATGTGATAATGCATAAATATACTTAGTATACCACCAGCACATACTCTATGTTTATTAAATGTAAGCTAAAGCAAAACTGCCAACCTTACATGATCTACACTTACCTTTACTGCCCTTGCTTTAATTAATATCATTATTGTATAATAAATACTAGCTGGGTATTCTGGCAAAGAAATAGTTGGTATTTTTTTAGGTAGGTAGGTCAGTTATTTTAAACACTAATCTGCTAGGATAGTCTTTAGATTGATATTTATTTTTGTCAATAGTTTGTATCTCCTGAAATACTGTCCCTTTCTTTTGAGCTTGCTTCTACTGGTTTTGTTTGTGGAATTTAAACTAAATCTACATAATGATCAAAATATTCCACCAAATCAGAAAACAATGATGTTCTCACTGTTGGGAAATAAAACAACTGGATATTTACTTTTCTCACATATATTTATCAAGTGCCTTCTTACAAACACTAGGAAATCTGGAGCTCATTCTGGTAAGGGAAGAGAAGTGTGTATATAAAAAAACATAATACAATATGGACCATGTTACATACCGTAAAATACATCCATTTGCTTTGAGAACTCAGAGACAAGAGATTACCTTCAGCTGGGGAGGAAAAAGGAAGCAAGCCCTTGTCTCGAAGGGCTTAAGCTCAGTGCCTGGTACAACATGGGTACTTACATGGTACATATTTGTTGAATGTTGAGTTGAAAAAAGCATCATAAGGATGCCTGGGTGACTCAGCTTTTGAGTGTCTACCTTGGGCTCAGGGCATGATCCTTGAGTCCTGGGATTGAGTCCTGCATTGGGCTCCCTGCATGGAGCCTGCTTCTCCCTCTGCCTGTGTCTCTACCTTTCACTCTCTCCCTGTGTCTCTCATGAATAAATAAAATCTTAAAAAAAAAAAAAAGGAAAAGGCTTCATAGAAAAGGTGACATTTGAGCTAGATTGCGAAGGTCAGGTAGGATTTGGATCTGTGAAGATCAGGAAGGTCATTCTAAGCAAAAGGAAAAACATATAAAGGGCACAGTAGTAAGGAGAGCACGAGGACAAAAAGGTGGTTTTGAATGAAGACAGATGCAAGAAAAGGAATCCTAGGAATTAAGCCTTGAGCATTAATTTGGAGCCAAATCAATAGCAGCCCTTAAATGGTATTCTAAGAAATCTGGCCTATTTGCAATGATGTGGTCGGGGCTAGAGTGTGTTATGCTAAGTGAAATGAGTCACTCAGAGAAAGACAAATACCGTATGATCTCATTCCTATGTGGAATTGACGAAACAAAACAGCTGAACATAGGGGAAGGGGGTGGGGAAAGGGAGAGAGGAAAATAAACCATAAGAGAATCTTAAAGGTAGAAAACAAACAGGGTTGATGGAGGGAGGTGGGCAGGGAGTACCAGCTAGAGGGGTGAAGGGTATTAAGGAGGGCATATGTTGTAATGAGCGCTGGGGGTTGTATGGAGGTGATGAATCACTGAATTTTACTCCGAAACCAATATCGCACTGTATGTTAACTAAGTAAAGCTTAAACTATAAATAAATAAATGAATGAAAGAAAGAAAGAAAGAAAGAAAGAAAGAAAGAAAGAAAGAAAGAAAGAAATCTGGCTTTTTCCCGTACACACTGAGAAGCCCTTGGAGTTTTTTGGAACAGGAGAAATAGTCAAATAAAGCATACGCCTTGGGAACAGTTACCTGACAGCAAATGTCCAGAGTGAATTAAGGGTGGAAGGTGAGGCTGGTTTTGATTTGTATTTCCTTGATGGCAAGTGATGTGGAGCATTTTCACACGTGCTTGTTGGCCATGAGTATATCTTCTTTGGTGAAATTTATGTTCATGTCTTCTGCCCATTTCATGATTGGATTGTTTGTTTCCTGGGTGTTGAGTTTAATAAGTTCTTTATAGATCTTGGATACTAGCCCTTTATCTGATTTGTCATTTGCAAATATCTTCTCCCATTCTGTGGGTTGTCCTTTAGTTGACTGTTTCTTTTGCTCTGCAGAAGCTTTTTATCCTGATTAAGTCTCAATAGTTCATTTTTGCTTTTGTTTCCTTTGCCTTCATAGATGTATCTTGAAAGAAGTTGCTGTGGCCAAGTTCAAAATGGGTGTTGCCTGTGTTCTCCTCTAGGATTTTGATGGATTCTTGTCTCACATTTAATTTAGATCTTTCATATGATTTCACTCATACGGGGAATATAAGAAATAGTGAAAGGGAGTTTACGGGAAAGGAGAGAAAATGAGTGGGAAAAATTAGAGAGGGTGACAAAACATGAGAGACTCCTAACTCAGGGAAACGAGCAAAGGGTAGTTTAAGGGGAGGCGGGCGGGGGGGATGGGGTAACTGGGTGA